TTATTTGTTTAGAGAAGAAGAAGAAACTGAACAAAATCAATATGTTTTCCTTCTGCGAAGGTAAGTATAGTAACGCACACAAACTAGTTTAAAAATAAAATCATCAGAGAATGAAGAGCACATCCATTCTGGCCCTTGTAGGAGCTGGACCTCGCTAACAACAGTCTCACAACTATCCGGAGGGGAGATTTTGCCAGGCTGAGAAAACTGAAGTATCTTCATATATATGTGAGTCGATCCTGTCAGCATCGCAATGTCTATTTCCTTCATAGTGATCAATGATCAGACCAAGCTTGAAAACAAGTTGCTTTTCAATTCGATTCTAATGTTGCTTTCGTGAAGTTTTCCCCCTTCAGTTGCCTTTTTATCAAATGACTTATCACTATATAATTCACAGAATATTGCGTTAGCGCTCTAACGTATGTATCATTGCCATAAGACTAGATGCTATGTGGATATTGAGTCTACGCCAGGACAACATTACTGGCTGTTCTTTTAGTGTTATACCAAAACAAAAGCTGTCCAGTAACAACATGTAGCTCACACACCAATATGCTATTCATTGTTATCTTCATATCGACAATCCTTTATGTTGTCCATATGATTCTTTTGGTGCCGAGAACCTAAAAAGCTTTATCGTTTATTTAACCCCGTGCAGACTAACGATATCACAAATGTGGAGGACTTTTCGTTCGAGAATCTCGCCAACCTGAAGGTCTTAGAGATATACGGGAACCGTCTGACGAATGTGTCAGCTGCAACATTTAAAGGTAAACAGTATACGCTACGGCTAAGACTAAGAACAGTAAAACTGGTGACATTCAAGCTCTGTTTTAAAAATGAATGTATTTTGACTGGGGCTTTGATTCTTTGCTTGTCATTACTGCTTAAATGTTTATAATTTTTTATCTAATATCTGTAGGTCACTACAGATGATACAAATACATGTATGTTTATCTTCTGTGCCACACAATATGTGCTATATGCTGATTGAGAAAGAATACTAAAGAAAAACAACACTTGGTTACATGTATACGTTTGATGATCTGATACACGTGGAATGTTGACAGGATGTATATTTCCCCTACAGGCCTGGTGTCTGTGGAGTATATAGGGATGGGAGGCCACCCTGAAATGGTAAGCTTTCCTGACGACACGTTCTGGGATCTACCAAAGCTCGCTCACTTGGGCCTACGCGGCAACCCACTCGTGAGCATCAGCGACGCCGTGTTTTCACGCCTACAAAGCTTAAAAAGTGTAAGTATCCCAGAAAACCAATTCTATTTGTGTTTCAATTGGTGATGATAACAGATCGTGTTACCATAGCCTCTTGTCAAAATATTCAAGGGAGAATTCAAGAAAGCTAGGCAAACATCAAAGATACTTTTTTGCAGATCATCATATCAATATATCAGCGACTGCCGTGTGATTTAACATTTTTACATATAGCTGCTGAATTCCAGACTTTTGATATTCTTATAAAGACATGTATAGTGATTTGTAGTACAATTGTACAAGTATTGTAAATATGAATATGAAAATAGATGATGCATCCTAATATGATCCCTTTTATCCGCCTTCGTGCAGATCGCTATGTCAGATTCCAGGCTGAGCTCCTTGCCGGCTTTGCCGGTTTCCTTAGAGTCACTCTCGATCTACATCAACCGGCCATTAACGGAACTTCGCCCGGGAGACTTCACAACACTTCCCCGATCAGGTAAGGGAGCTGATGATTTGTCCGCCTGACGGATTAGAAAACTCTCTCAATGGCATGCCCTAGTGTCGATCTCGTTTAATTTCCAAAACCATGCTTAGCTTACAACTTGTCTTTAGCGACAGTATCAGTTGCAGGATATTGCAACATCACAGATCATGCCAACGTTAACAGGCTAAGTGTGTTAAATATATAGACTGTTGTATACCAGAATTTGGGATAAGAGTTTTTTAAAAAAATCATGACTGGAGAATACGTGAATGGAAATTGGACTGATTTGTATGGAAAACGTGATGTCTCTCATTGTCTCTCCATCTTCAGAGACAGGAGATCACCTGCCACTCCCCAACCTGACCAGCTTACAGTTGTCGAGGTCAGGGCTTCAGAAGATTCACCCGTTTGCTTTCGCGACTTTGCCGGCTCTGACATCTCTGGATCTGCACGGGTATTCGCACCTCTAATACTAATAGACAGTATAACTACATTGTACCTATATTGAATATTTTTTTAATGACAAAATGTTCAACCGACGTCACACTGCAGGAACATAGCTCGCAAGTTCACTGCACGATTTTTAGGAATCAGCCAATGTAATAATGATGATATAAGATCATTATGAATTTGCAGTTTGTCTTCTTTTACAGTTTGATTCCAGACTACAGCTCAGTGAACGTTGTCTATTATCATGTTGTAAACAAAAATATATTTGCTCTTTTTCTTAACAGGAATAGTTTTCAGAGCATTTCGTCAATCGATTCAGATGCATTCGGTAACCTGACGACTCTGCTAAGTCTGAACATTGACGGAGTAACGACATTGTCACCGCGTATGTATATCATGTTATATGCAGATGTTATACTCTCTAAGTAGTGGTCTAGACTGGTCTGCTCTTCTTTGGTATTCACACCGGCAGAGGAAAGGGTTTTCTTGAATAATTCAAAGAAAACACCGATACGGTATTGATATAATACAACAAAATTGTGTTGCCTGGAGGCTTCGTAATTTCCCAATATATTTTTGATGCTTATATGTGCTTGTCTAATATTTAAGAATCAATGATTTGATATCGGAGCTCCCCTTACGCAAACATTAATATTCTTGTTTAGACCATGGAGGTAAAAAGAAGTCACAAGGCGTTGTGTTTAACCTCCATGCTTACACGCATGCACATTTTGTTTTGGCCACAGGTGTATTTCGGCATCTCCCGTGCCTCCAATCGGTAACCTTGGGAGAAAAGTTGACCTGCGATTGTGACTTGCTTGATCTCGTGAAATGGATCAAGAAAACAAGTAGGGTTTTCTCTCCTCTGCTTATCAGAAGAGATGATAAAACATAAGAATTAGAATATAAAACTCTACATCTCTACTTTACATAAGCATTAGAATATGCAATCTCTACCATGAAGTTAGTATGACTTAACTTTATTCACGTGAATATAGTTTCTTCGTCTGTGATATATATTGGCCTAACACATTGAGAGGTACACGAGTCGAACTCACGAACATGCATTGCATGTATTGATATCTGTCATTGTTCCTGCAGCCGTCAATCCAAGTCCGCCAACCTGCTGGTTTCCAAGGAAGTTGAGAGAACGTTCTCTAAAAAGCCTACGTGAAGAGGAGTTAGGGACGTGTTCCACCGACAACAGAACAACTGCTCCACCGACAACAGATCCCATGGTGCAGATCTGGTAAATGTTTACAACTTATCTCAAAGATAGCTGTCGCGATAAATATAAAAGTAGAAAGCAACCCGCCAAACGAGCCCGCTTAAGTGAAAAAATAACCCGAAAAAAATCTAGCCAAATATGAGATTGATTTCTATATTTGAACAAGAAAAAAATAGACTTCGGGGACATCTTGTTACTCATTCTACGTTGATGAGAAATAAGTACGGTTTGCAGCTGCCAACGCAGAAATAATCCAGTCTATAGATAAATGAGTGGCCCACAACCAACTCCGCCGAGTTGCAGAAGAGGCCCTACCCCCTCCGCCATGATTTCTGACCAAACAAGAAGTTACTAAAGTATCTTCCTGGACGAGCAAACGAAAAAAAAACAAGTCAGACCAGCAACTTACTTCAATTTATAGGAAGTGTCGGAAACTTCAGAAAACGCAGCAGTAAACTCCAGATGAAGGAAACAGACTAAACTTGATCAACCGCCCGGGGAAAACCTTGATGCAAAGGGAACAAATTTTGACGAACCGTTTGTTTGTATTTCAGGAATTTTCCACTGAGGAATTTTCCACTGAGCACATGTAAATCCCGGGCTCCGATTGGTCAATTTGGAAACCTTTGAAAGGGTGCCCGCGGGATTTCAAACGAGGAAACCCCCTCGTTCTGAAGCATAAATTACAAGCCTGAGCAGACGAGTCGACTTTCGTATTCGGCATAAATTTGTATTTCTTATAAGAAGAGTATTATTACCTTTGCCAAGAAGGTTATGTTTTCAGTAGCGTTTGTCTGTGTGTGTGTGTGTGTGTAATTTAGCAAGATAACTCGAGAAGCAGTGAATGGATTGGAATGAAACTTGGTAGGTGGGTAGGTCTTCATGAGACCAAGAAATGATTAGATTTTGGGCCCCCTGGCGGCTTTCCTAGGTACTGCAGCTGAACTTCCGGTTTTGATATCTCATGTTCTGGACATGCTGGGGTCACGAATTTTGGTTGGTAGATAGCTTTGGGGGTAGGGAAGAAGTGACATGAGATTGGGTCCCCTAGCGCCTTGTTCTGGAACTGCAGGAGCATTTGTTGAAAAAAATTTGAAGGACGATAACTCAAGATCCGGTTGACGTATTGTCATGATTTTTGGCATGTATGTAGTTGAAGTGATGCTTGACATAATCAGATGGCAATTATGCAAATCAGGAGCTAATTTGCATAATTAATGAGGAAATTCTATAAATCTGCTTTGTTCGATAATAGAACTATTAAACACTTGTGACATCTACTTGAGAACGAGAAAAACATCTGAGGATATAGATTATGTAAATGAGAACCTAATTTGCATAATTAATGGCAAATTCTTATAATTCCATAGTTGTCACTGCTGCACCCAATTTCATACTTGCCACATTTGGAAGTTAAGTAAAGTGAAGTGAAGATCAATAAACATAATTTATTCAAATCATGACCTCATTTGCATAATTTATGAGGATGGATGGAGAATATGATCAACTGATATAATTCATGCAAATGAGGCTCTTATTTACAAAATAAATGATTAAAATTGTATAATTTGTCACCCGCAAGAGTTAACACCATTTGGCGAAGGTATGAGATCGTGGAACTCTTGTTACATTCTGTAATTCAGGAGATATGTCAGTTATTCACAATATGGTGTCGCTTTTGTAGTGATTTAGATATGAATTTTCAAACGTATACTGATATCTGAGTAGGGCATGAATGATGACACCGATGAATGAGCTGAAAATGTTTATAAAGTAACGTTATATACAGTAAACCATTGACATCGAATGAATTATGACATCTTTCCTTTCAACTTTGTGTAAAATGTTGATGTGCTATTCTATTGTTATACGTACAGCCCAACCCTATCTCCATCACTTTTGACGACAACACTTTCACAAAGCCCTCCTGTGACAACTCCAAAGTCCTCAAAACCACAGGCAGCAGCCGTGGGCTTGCCAGAATCAGCAGTCGTGGGCTTGGCCGTCGGAGTGCCCCTGTTCCTGATCATCCTCGCGATGACGGCCGGCTTCTGTTTCCTGAGGAGGAAAGGACGCTCTTCTGCCGAACCGATGCGTCAAACTCAGCAACAGGTATTTGAATTTGTTGTGTTTCTATTGTAGTTTCTGTCTTCATAGAAAAAGTGTAATAGCTTTTAGCCTCCTGTGCAGGCCCCGCGGTTCCATTCCGTATGCGGAATGGAACCTTCTCTCGGCGGCTATGTAGGATGGCCGGAAATAATGCGTTAAAAACTCTTCCCCACCGCCGCAGGGCCTGCACAGGAGGCTAAATGGCTTTGATTACCTTCGCCAAGAAGGTTATGTTTTTCATCTCTGTTCTGGGCCAAACCTGGCGGCTAACGAGTGGCCGTGTTACACTACAGGAAGCGCCTATCGGCTTAGCTGAAGTTATCAGAGACGACCCTCCATACGACAGTATCAACGAAAATCCATACAACTCAATCATTGAAGATAGACGTGGAAGTCAGGAAACCCCGTATCAGAACCCCGAGACTGTGACAGAACCGGTAGCCGACAGGATCACTAGTTCATATCTTCAGTTTGCTGGAGTGGAAGACAGCATGAATTCACCGGACAGCAGGACGGATGATGAACATGGTCATGACGTGCCCATTCCAACCCCACGTTCAGGAGACGATCAGAGCTCCCCTGTGACAGAACAGATGACCGACAACATCTATAACCAAGTCAAAGACGACGGGTCTGAACAAGAACAGAGTGCATCGCCTGACGAGAACAACGTTTACATCGACATCATCGGCTAGTGTGTGTGTGGTGGGGTCTTGTTAATGCTAGTAATCCACATAAACTAACCTGATGTCGTTCTGACAAATATGCTTAATACATGGTGATATGTTATTGAGATAGTAATCGGTAATGTAATAAGGGTACACCAGAATCGAGAGGTCACAAACAATTCAAGCAAGTTGTTGAATACATTGTACAGTAAGGAACACACGATTATACGTGTACGCTAAAAACGCACCATTACGACAGCTTAACCCAAGAACAACTGTACAATGGGCGATAGCGTTTAGAATATAATATGCGTATGTTAAGAATATGATACTACATGACCATACCTATCTATTTGCAAATGTCACAGTTGGGTCATTATCAAGTCGACGTCGTTCTATTCACAAAAGTGCAGATATCAACATTGAAAATATTTAGGTGTAAAACTTATAAGAGCTGCCATGCTTTCCATTGCAAAGTTTAAATGAAATATATTACATTGTATAATATTCACATTTGGTAGATAAATATTCATACCATTTACCCTTTGAACTCAAAATATGGTTATAGCTACTGAAATAACTTTGTACACACACACACACATATTATATATATATATGTATGCATGTGTGTGTGTGTGTGTGTGTGTACGAGTACATGTATAATATACTATGGTGTGGTCTAAAACATCTTTCCCCATCCATACACAGGGCGTACTCTAATATATGTTACAAAATAAACATTGGTTTATCTTCGAAAAGCGAATTCAGATGTATGTGTATATGACTGTGTATATTTTGGCATGATTGTAGTAATCAGTTAATTGGACACTGAACTCAGATGTCCAATGCCTGCTATGTAACTGTTAACTAGTTAAACAAACCAGGTGCACTGAGAATGAGACATGTCATGTTGTTTCAGGAGGCAACAGGCTTGTATTGTTGCGGTGTCATCTCAAAGGCCAAAGGCCAGGGTTTTTTGCCTTTTGTTCTGGCTCAAATTGTCGGCAGACCCCGCGGGGTTTGCGTACACTGTTTGTGTTCATCCTGTGAAAGAAATCATGACACTGCCCGCCATTTTTTCTGACGGTGATAACGATACATTCGACGTCCATCAGTGACAACTTGCAACTGATGTTCCCAAGAGGAGATATATGTACATCAAACTTGACTTTCGGGGATCTCTCTAGTGTCACACTTCTCTGAATAAAAAAACAACAACTCAGGTTTCGTCATTCTAAATATTCTTTGAAAGTCACTCACTTTGTCCTTGATTCTTTAAAAACACGAAGCAGGTAAATACAATAATTCGTGCTCTAATTTCCTGGACTGAGATGGATTTTGATGCCTGTTTCATAAAGTCTGGATAATATGGAAAGGCTTTAGACATCAACACACGCCTGCACAAACATCATATATCAGTTCAGATCTAAAACAGCCCATGGTCATTATTCGGGTATGCAGCAAAGGTCGACAGACTACTTATCTACTTATGCTTGACTAGACTAATTCAGGAAACAAAGTCTCAGGCAAAGTTGTATGAGGTGAGCTCGAGTGTTTATCGACATTTAGACAGAACAAGACTGGGACAAACGGCACGTATCAGGTAAGAGATTTGTTCTGTGTCATTTCAATGTAAAGGTCAAGATAAATTCAAAACACGAGTCAAATGTGACAGTACATTTGTCATCAGCCACTTCAAAATGCCAGGCTGCGATTTTTATGGACACGGGAATCGTTTACACATTTCGTTTGTCCGACTAACGAAATGTCTCACAGATAGTAGTTTAGTGTCATTGTATCACAGGAGAATATGGGGTATGATAACGCCATTTCTAAATTGGATAGTAAATGTTTTACGCATGCATTTCTACACTTAACTTTTGTTATCAACATACTGCACAGCCACAGACTTTTTTAATATAAGCCATATACGGGTGTGGGGCTTATGATTACTGCCACGGTTCTTGTCGCGACGATATTTTTAAACAAATGGTTCGTATCATAACATTTATACCTCTGGTAATGTATTTAACCACTTCAAGGGGTAGTTTATAATTTATCGCTGTCAGAAGCAGAGTGGTATCATAACGACTCTCTGTTTTCTGTTGTTAACAGCCGGCCACCATGGCCATGGCCCGCTCAAGGACGTCTTGCCTGTTGGTATGTTTGCTCGCTGTCCTGACCCGAGGTGTGACTGCCCTTGACTGCGCACCCCAATGCCGATGTTACGGTACCACTCTCGACTGCAGTCACGGAGCCCTCACGGGATATCCGCGGATTCAGCTCATACCAACTTCAACAGAAGTTCTCCTGTTAAACAGTAATCAGATTTCGGAAGTGAGGCGTAACCCTCAGCTTCCCAACCTGCTGGAACTGAGCCTGGAAGATAACTCCATCACTGCCCTGACACGCAATCCATTCCTTTTTCGGACAAGCCTTCAGATTCTCCGATTAGGAGGGAACGCGATCTCCAATCTTCCCGCTTCGGCTTTCAACGGGCTGAGCCAACTTGTGGAACTTTATCTCAATGGAAATACAATCACAACAATAACTGCGTTTGGAAGCAATTCTGTCGTCAAGAGATTAAAGATGCTCGACTTACAGGACAACAAACTCACCTCCATCGGCATCGGGACGTTCACAGGAGTCTCACTTCTTACGGAGCTCAACCTTTCATCTAATAACATCTCAGAGATAGAAGACGGGAGATTCAGTCATCTCAAGGAGCTACGTGTCCTGTACCTGCATTCAAATCACATCGGCATGTTGACCAACGCGACCTTCATGGGAATGTCAGCCTTAACTCGTCTGACTTTGAGAAACAACAAGATCCAGAGTCTACCTGATATGGCCTTCATCGGCGCCCCAAACCTGGAGTTTCTGGACCTATCATTTAACAACCTCTCCACAATCACACAGGTAGCGTTTTCAGGACTGTACAATCTTACCACGCTGCTTCTGGGTAATAACAAAATCAGCTCTATTGAGGACTGGGCGTTTGGTGACCTGGTCAAGCTACAGTCATTGTTCCTGAGGAACAATTTTCTACAGAACATGTCAGCAGCAACATTAACTTTCACGTCTACGGAACTATGGGTGAGCCTTTTTTAAACTAAAAGCATAACATTTGAAAAGCAATTGCATAATTTTTAACTTCACATGGTCTAGCTCAACAAACTACTGCTCTGTTTATTCTTACTCAGATATATGCACATCTACATTGTATGGTAAGCAGGCACTCCAACTCCATCCTGCTGTAATGTAACACAACAGCACAGACTGTCTGCTACAGCACACGTTACCATATGGTGACAGACGTCTGGTCCAGGTCATTTTATTGTTGGCATTTAGAAGAAACTGAGACAAAAACTAGTTAAAAGATAAAATCATCAGAGAATAAAGAGCACATCCATTCTGGCCCTTCTAGGAGCTGGACGTCGCTAACAACAGTCTCACAACCATCCGGAGGGGAGATTTTGCCAGGCTGACAAAACTGAAGTATCTTCGTATACATGTGAGTCAATCATGTCAGCATCGCAATGTCTATTTCCTTCATAGTGATCAATGATCAGATCAAGCTTGAAAACAAGTTGCTTTTCAATTCGATTCTAATGTTGCTTTCGTGATGTTTTCCCCCTTCAGTTGCCTTTTTATCAAATGACTTATCACTATATAATTCACAGAATATTGCGTTAGCGCTCTAACGTATGTATCATTGCCATAAGACTAGATGCTATGTGGATATTGAGTCTACGCCAGGACAACATTACTGGCCTGTTCTTTTAGTGTTATACCAAAACAAAAGCTGTCCAGTAACAACATGTAGCTCACACACCAATATGCTATTCATTGTTATCTTCATATCGACAATCCTTTATGTTGTCCATATGATTCTTTTGGTGCCGAGAACCTAAAAAGCTTTTATCGTTTGTTTAACCCCCGTGCAGACTAACGATATCACAAATGTGGAGGACTTTTCGTTCGA